TACAGTAACTGTTTTTTTTTTTTACTGTTTATACAGTAAAAAAAAAATCACACTGAGGGAAACAAACCTATGCATAAAACTTCTAAGATGAACTTTTACTTGTATGAGAGAACTGATCCTACTGCCCTTGAATTTACATCCCAACACCTTCCTCTAACTGAAAATACCACCGAATGGTACGCTTTTGAGTCAGGGAAGGAGGTGTGGCTCTAGGGAAAGGACACTTGCCTACACCCCAGTTAGAGAGCTGGGGCCTTCCCATGGACCCCTCCACTCTGGCTGGTTCATCATTTGCAGAATGACAACACTGGACAAAGTGGTCTACGATGTTTTAGTGCTAAAGTTTTACAATTTAGTGACATCCATGAGATTATAAATAAATTCAAGTCAAAGTAAATTAGGGAGAACAATAACACAATTCTACAGCCAAACACTATTTGTAATTTGTTGCTAGATTGAAGGTGATGATAAACAACTACATCCTTGGGACGGCAATCTTGGTGGACAGATATTAAAGGAACCATTTCTAATATTCTGGTATCACATTATAGTTTCCTTCCTGGGCTATTCCTATAAAGTATAATTCAAAACATGTTATATACCATTGTTATTTGAGATAAGAGAATATTTAGAATATTCTTAATTCTTTAATTTCCAAGCTTAATTTTAAAAGACTGCTATGTTAATTATGAGTTATTACCTCTAGGAGTCATGTTTCTAGTAGGAAAAAAAAAAAAAGATGGGGTGTTTGCATTTTGCTTCCAGCCAAGATGGAGTCAGATAAAACAAGTCTTTCCTTCACTTCAAATAATAACCCACTTTGGCAGAATATATGGAATGTTGACTTCTACACATTGGCCAACAGGCAACACAGGGCTGTGACGCTGAGGAAAAGGCCACAGAAGGTAAGCTTCAGAGATACCAGCTTCCTGTGCGCACATACTTTCTAGGCCATCCAGCCCAAGGTTCTTACAGAGTAGGAAAAGACTGTTTGAAGTTGGGGGAGACAAAGGTGGCTACCTTTTGTGGGGCAAACTACTGCAAATGTGGAAGCTGCACAGAGAGAGATCTACAGAAATCTACAGAAGTGTCCCCAAATTTGGCCAAGAACTTATCTATGCATATGTGGGGGAAAAAAAAAATATGTGAGTCTAGGGAAAGAACCTCTGCAAAGACTGAGCAGAAACTCCCAGAGCAGCCCACAGAGCTGGGATCTTGTTGAAATTCTACCAGTGAAGGAGCTTCTAATTCACTGGACTTGAGGAGACACCTCAGAAGCACACTGCCTCACTAGCAAGTCTAAAACATTCCTGGACTGAAGGCTATTCTGAACCAGACCTTTTTAAAAAGTCAGACTGATCTAAGTAATATTAAGCAGGCACCAGAAAAATATAAAAATCCAACACTCTTTAAAGAAATGCACAAAACTCCAGCAACCAACATGACTCAATTATAAAAAAAATAAAAAACAACAACAACACTGTAAAATATAATCCAGAGTGAAGATAAAACTAACCAACAGAAAACAGAAAGAGACTCAGATGTGAAGAGATGAGGGCGTAAGGACAAAGTTGTTAAAATATGACCTAAATGTTAAAGAAGTTAGAAAATATTCTCATAAGAAATAAAAGCTATAACAAATATGCAAATACAACTTCTAGAAAGGAAATGAACAGTATTAAGAAATGAAAAATATTCTCATTAAGGATTAACAGCAAGCTAAATGCTGCAAAAGAAAAGATTATTAGAAACATAGTGATAAAAATGATCCAAAAGGAAAAAGCTGAAAACCCTTGACCACAGCATCAATGGCTTATGGGATATATCAAGCATCAAGCAAACAACACAGGAATTAACTGCAGTCCCAAAAGAGAGCAGAAAAAAACATGTGAAGAAGTAACAGCTAAAAAGTTTCCCAATTTACTGTAAACTATAAACCCACAGATCCAAAAAACCCCTCAAGAAACCCCAACAGAATAAGCATAAGGAAAATTATGCCAAGACAGGCTGTAATCAATTTGCTGAAAAGCAGTGAATAAAAGCAGTCATAAAATAAGACACTATGTCCTAAAGAACAAAAACTGTCAGATTTATCATCAGAAGCCACAAAAGACAATGGAGAGACACCATTAAAGTACTGGCAGAATAAACTGTCAGAACCCAGAATTTTTATTAGAGAAGCACACCTTTTTAAATTGAAAGCAAATAAAAGCTTCGAGAATTCATCACCAGGATATCTGTACTACAGAGATATTAAAGGAAATGCTATAGGCAGAAGGCTAATGATACCAGAGAGCGCTCGACTGACCAAAAGGAATGAAAAGCACAGAAAAGGTATACATTTGGGGAAATATTAAAGACATTTTTGCCCATTTAAAGCAAAAATATGTTATAGTATGGGTGCTTGTGTCTCTTCAAAATCCCAAAGGTGAAATTCTAACTCTGATGTGATGTGATGTGCGGGGAGGTGGCCTTGGTAAGGTGACTAGGCCGTAAAGGTAGAGTCCGCACTGAGTGTGGAGAGGGCCCACACCCTAGAGTTCCTCTGCCCTTCTGTGCTTGTGGCATTCCAGCCAGCCTCAGAACTGTGAGAGAGAAATTCTGTTGCTTATAAGATGTTGGTCCTCTAGAAGTTTGTTAAAGAGATCTAAATAGATTAAAACAGTTTATTTTGAGATTTATAACACATATATCAAGTAAAATATACAGCAACAGCAAAGAGTATGAGAAGGCAGAGGGTATACTGTTGTAAAGATTGTTGCATTATATATGAAGAGGTGTAACAGTTAAAATTTGTGGAAACTTAAAGATATACACTATAAAACCTAGATCAACAACAAGAAAAATGAAACATAAAAACATATAGCTAACAAGGCGACAGTGAAGCGAAAATGGAATCATAAGGAAGGGTCAATTCTTCAAGAGGACATGAGAAAACAAAGTTTATCTATACCTAGTACCAGGGCTTCAAAATATGTGAAGGAAAAATCCAAACAGAAGTGACAGAAGAAATAATTTTAGCTAGAGAGCAACAGTCTTCTCTCAGTAATTAACAGAATAAAATAGAACTCAAAGATATACAGAAGACTTGAATAACACTATCAACTAACTTGACCTAACTGACATTTATAGAAATTCCACCAACATCAGCAGAATAGTCATTCTTTTCAAGTAAACAAAAACATTCATCACAGCAGATTACATTCTGAACCAGAAATTAAGTCTGCACTGAACTGGACTGAAATTATGTAACGTATATTCTCTACCACTGCAGAATTAAACCAGGTGTCAGTAACAGAAGATTACAAGGAAATTCCTGAAAACTTGGAAAATAAACAACACCAACAGTAGACGTCTAAACATTACCAATGAGTCAAAAAAGCAGCCAAACAGAAAACTGGAAAATATTTTGAACTGAGTGCAAATGAATATCCAATAGCTCAAAGTTGGTGGAATACAGCTATACAAAACCATGAAAGGATTCTAGTGTCTAACTTCTTCCTCTGTCAAGTCGACTAAATCCATCCTGCCACTTCAGCGCTGCTCGGGGACACAGTGAAGCATGACGCTAGCACAAAGGCGCAGAGAAGACACTGACGCTGGCTTCAGAGAGCAGGTGGCGGATGACACGGGGCTTAAGGAAGGGGAAGGACACGGCCTGATGGGGGGGCACATGGAGCGCGCGGAGGGCTCATCTCAGGGGGTGCAGTGGAAGCACCAAAAGCGCTCTGGGGATATGGGTCAAGGAGACAGACCACAACAGGCGGGAGGGAGGAGAAGCAACCTGGATCGAAGGCAGGGGATACTGGGAAAATTTAACACCCGAAATACAGAAATTACAAAACATTATTTTGGTGAGAAGGTACAAATGACACTAAACAAACCTTCACCCATACAATTAAAAACACTTCCGAGGAAAAAAAATCTCATGAAATAAAGTATTTAACACTAGAAACTGTGCACCTACTTCTAAATCATCTGGCAAATAATCTCTATATACAATTACACAAATGCCATTGAGTAAAACATTGTATCCGAATTCACCAAATAATTACTAACATCTATAAATATTTATGCACCTTGCGATTTCACTTGAAGGGTGCAATAAAGCAAACACAAAAGAGGACACCACCAGGAACTACTGACGGGTTATTACAGATGTGCCCGGATGCACTGAATAAACCTTTGGTGTTGAATTAGTAGAGCCAAAGCAGGTAAAGTAAAAGAGGTCAGCAAGGTGTCCAAAACAAGTTATTATTCTCTGCTTTGAAAAAATATTTTAAAATGACTAAAAATCAACCAAGAAAGCCTAGTCACCTTAATCCACCAAACACACGACATTACAGAAAACATCACTTCTGGATAAAGTATTACTGTGATTGTGTATGAATGAATACAAGAGCAAAGTGTGCCACAGAATTCATGACCTATAGTGACCAGAATGAAAAACGGGACTTCACTGCACTCCTAAATAACCATTGTCAAGGTACTTGGATCTGGGGCACTATGACAAATAGGATGATCACTTTTCCAAAAAATGACAAGAAAGTACATGGAAATAATGTTACTGAAATTAGCACTACTTTCAAATTCAAATGATTTTCAAATACAATCTAGCACCCAAAGAAAAGCTAAATTAGATCTGATTAGCTTATTCCAATAAGTTCAATGGGTGAAATTTTGTTTTTTTTCAAAAAGAAAAATTTTTTCAGGCTATCTAAGAGACATTTAAACAGTGTCTTTTACATGCCCATGTATAAATTACGTCAACTAATTAGTTACAAGAGTTATTAAATGTCTGCCACTGCAGTCTTTTGCTCACATTACTACATCAGCCCAGAATCAGTTTAGAAAACATACCTATACAAAGAAATTAGCTAGCATCCTGGGAGTACCTTATTCAACTTCTTTGCTGTAGCAAGTAAAAACAAATCTCAAAGAGCAATTAAAAAAGAGGGGTAGGGAGAAGAAAACATCTGGATAGGCTCCAAAGAACTCACCCGTGCAAAGTCAAATGCATATCTGTAAATAAGTTTAAAGTTTGTAGAATCATTTAATAATGATCGTAAATAATCCAAAGTGTTTCTGAGTTTTTCTGTGGTATCACATCTAGAAAAAAGAGAGTAAAGGCAAATTATAACCTGAGTTTTTGTCTGAGTTGGGGTAATAACGCCAAACATAATACCAAAGACAGAATAAAAACTCTGATGCTGTCAAACTATTTTTTTCCCAGTTTTTATTTCAAAAAATTTCAGATATACAGAAAACATTAAGAGAATAGTGAATAAGCACCATCCAGCCATCTGATCCCAATGGAATGTATCACATCTGTGCTGTCTCATGTTTACACTATTTTTTTCTACATTTGAAATAAACTTGACTCACTATTACCCCTTAACACTTACACATACTGTCATCACTCAATAGCCTACTGAATGCTTTCTTAGTTCATACACCCACATGCAGATTTTCCTTATATCTGCTGCCTTTCCCATCTAGGGTCCAATCAGTGCTCAAGAACTGCTTTTAGCTGCCATGTTCCTTAATCTCTAGAAAGATGCTCACCTATTTTGTCTTTCTTTTTTTTTAAAGATTTATTTATTTATGCACACAGAGCTGGGTACAGGACAGAGGTGGTGTAGGGGTAGTGAGAGGATTCACCAGAGACAAAGTGCGGAGCAGAACAAGCCAAACACTGCTGAGGGGAGTAGCAGGCGGGTCAGGAGAAGTCTGCTGTGCCATGTGGGTCACCTCCAGGGCTGGGGAGCTAACTCATGCTGAAGTGGCTTTAGCTTCTTACTGCTGTGTTTTAACCCACTGCACCGGGGAGGGCCCTATTTTGTCTTTTTTGACCACATCATATTTGAAGAAGACTAGAAGAGACTAGACCAGCTGTTTCGTAGAGTCTCAGCTTGTCAGACAACTTCCCTATGCTTATTTTTAGGATGGCCACTTTTGATGACACCAATGAGAATGTGCTTCTCAGTGCAACTCACAAGAAGCTTTAAGCCAAAGTTTATCCGGTTACTGGTGACAGCTGACTTACTAAGTAGCAGCCACATACAAATCCATTTACTCCCTTGAAATGGTTCTCAATCTGTGGGATGGTATCTTCAGACTACAAGTTCTCTGTTCCTCAAAAACGTGTTACCATCCATGTTGGACAATACCTGCCTGAATCAGTTCTGTCACAATGGTGATTTCCCCTCCACCCCCAATCTCATCATGCCTTTTACATTTACTGATCACAATTATTCCATAAAAAGAGTTTTATTCAGCACCTTATTTTCTGGATTTAAGGACTTTTGGTTTTTATTCAGTATTATTAATCTGTTCTTTCCAATGCACAGAATGGCCACACTTGGGCCATGGCACCCCTGGCCTTCTGACACATTCCCATCAGTTTGAACATGTCTTTGCTTTCTGGCACACAACATTCCTGTTCACCTTGTACTTTCTTTCCCTACTTGACTTGACTTGAAATCATCCATCTCTCCAGGGAGCCTGGTGATGATAGCCTCTTTTCACAGGTTTATGACACATTGTTTATTTTCCTAAGGAAGCAGACTAATTTGGCTGTTTTTACAAACTAATTTTCTGTTCACAATATCTAGCTCTTAAAAATGAGAACCAAGAGCCACCATTTTCACTAGGAATATTAGTTGTTCAATGCTGGATGTGTTTGTGTGTCAAGAGAGCTTCCTACTACTAAATACAGGTAAGACATATAAAGTATTATCAACATAAATCTCTTACACATTTTATAAACAATGTCTGACAAAAGAGTAAACTGATACATTTTTTACATCGAGATATTTTTAACAATACATTTGTGAAAACTCCTATTCATAGCCTCACAGCTACAAAAGTACTTATGATTTTTCTAATGAAATGATTAAGTATCTAAAAGCCAAAAATAACAGTCAAAGCTTCTTTTCTAGGAGCTTACATTAATTTAGACTGCCTTTCATTTCTTTTTGATGTTTGAAAAAAAATAACATAAAACTATTTTATAAATCAGAAAAGACTTTTTAAGGTGGATCACTTAAGATAAAGTTAAGTAGAATAATCTCAGAGGGTTTTCTAGATAAAAGGAACAGCATGTGCAAAGGCCCAGTGACAAATTGGAGCACAGCAAGTCCAGAGATTCATGTTTGCATCTCAAAAGCTCATTCTGGATCTCTGTAGAGAAGGGGTGGGGAAGGAAAAGAGAGACATTGATAGTAGAGATCTAATGTCAGGATCCAAAAGGCGGGGGAGGGGGAGCATGGAGAGTAGTCACACACGTATTAAGTGGGAGTCTGGGGGAGGTGACAGAATTTACTCCCCACCAGGCACTCTACTGTATGGCTTGATTTTTTTTTAACCATATAAAAATAACAATTAATAGTAATAAGGAGGAGAGTCAAAGAGAAGGGAAGTTAGCTAAACATACAAGGCCCAGGTCCCTGCTCGTCACTGGAAAGGAAGGTCAAGAACTCCAGCTGCAGGAAATTGGCCAGATTTTGGCAGGCAGTTTAGTTTAGTCCTGCCCAATGAGAGCAGGAAGAACAGCTGATCGTTTCCAAAGACTCAAGAGCAGAACCACTCATTTAGAAAACCATTACAGAGTTTAAGGAAATAAAGTAGCTTCAAGACTTTGGGATGCTCACAGCTCTTGTCTGGAGTAGAAAAAATGAATAATCTGAATCCAATTGTTAAATTTAAAAAAAATCATCTTTTAAGTATAAAATACGCAAATCATCTTTTTTATTCAGGTGTCTTTTAAGGACGGTTACAAGGGTTAGAGCTAATAATGTCAATGAGGAGTTTAATCTGCTTTAAAAGGGTCCTTGTCCTGCAAATCTCTGGATTTACCGCAATTAGGAAACCAGGATGCCAAGTCACCCCATCTGAGCCAGAAGCTGCCATCTAGTGGCAGAGGGACTCGAGTCTAACTCAGGCCTGTTAAGAAACAGTTTCCGGAAGTTAAGTGAGCAGCAGCTGACCAGCCTCAGGAAAGTCTTGCTTCTCAGTGTGTCATAGGTAAGAAAACTCACAGAAGTCACAGAGTGATGGAGCGAATCTGCTAAGGAATATCATTTCCCTGAAACATAATGTGGGGTCACTTATTTGAAATTTGCCTTTGTCATAGATTTAGAGGCAACAAGAAATCAGGACAAGAATCCTCAGAAGTTATAAAATCAGAAGTATCACTCCTAGGTCATGGGAAGTCCCTTTGCCCCTTCATTTAATCAGCCACAAAGTGTTTTTCCAGTTCATCCATTAGTTCTATGCAGTCAGCTACAACTCTAGAACAAAATTTTTTTTGGTCTTGCTTAAATATCCCTATATAAGCTTGATACCTCAGAGATAATCTTAAAACGCACAATTTGAAACAAGGCAATAAATGAAACACAAAGTCAACTGAAACAGAAGTTGTGCCGCATCTGACTGAGAATGATGTAGCAGCCTTGGGGACACTGCTCACCAACCGCCATTGCTTCTTCCAACACTTTCACAGACCACCACCAGGGAGACCTTTCTCGTAACTCCTCTGGGTAGGATCAAGGAGTCTGACTTCTGAAGGCCCAGGGATGAGCCAAAATTCATCTTTCTTCCTTACTTTGGAGACATTGCCAGAAACACCCAAAAGATGGTAGGATTGATTCAAAACTTGAGTTCCAAATCTTGTGGGCTTTCTATTTTTTTTTTAATAATATAAGTTTATTTTTACATCATTTTGTGCATTTTTCCATCTCACTTGTAATCCCATGAGCTTCCCATCACCAAATCACCCGTGTGCCATAACTATAGTTCCAGTGCATTTCCCTCCCCCCACTGTTTTTGATCCCATTCCCTACTCCACCCCCATAAAATGTCTCTGGTAGACAGCTGTTCATTATTATTATTATTTTCTCACCTGGGGGTTTTCTATTTTTAGCATACTATCACCATGCTGTATTTTTTAAAATGCAGGATGGTATTTAAATGTACTAATATAGATCAAAAAAAAAAATTCTGTACTTCATTTTTATTAATACCAGTTAAAGTCCAAAACATTTCGCTGAACAAGCCTAATAAAACCAAAACCTCAGCAAAAGAGAAAAAAAAATCCAAACAAGAGACAACACTTTCTGCCTTTAGAGCTTGTAAATAATTAGCCTCTGAGTTTTCTTTCCTTATTTAGTCAATTCAAGTAGCAAAAAGAGAAGTAGCCTGGGCCTCCCTGGTGGCACAGGGGTTAAAGTGCAGCACTATGAGGCTGTCCTCAGCCACTGCAGCGAGAGTTCCATCCTGTCTTGCCTGGCTGTGCAGTTCCCTCAGCAGCGTGTTTCAGTCAATCTGCTTTGTTCTGCTCCCTACTCTGTCTCTGGTGAACCCTCTCACCCCCTGCACTTCTGGCCCATTCCCCAGTTCTTATATGCATGAAATAAATAATTTTTTAAAAGAGAGAGAAAAGTAGCCTTATTGCTTTTGAATCTCTTGCCTAAACACCGCTTCCAAGATCCTTTTGCCCCAGGACTCTTTCTTACTCATGGATGTCCCTGTAAAGGGTACGAATAAATTCAGAAACAGCCAGATGGAGAAAGACACAGGGCGTGCAGTGTGGCACTCCCGTGCCCCCTCTAGCAAAACCTCTTTTGCTGAAGTTTTGGTTTTATTAGGTTTCTCCAGTGAAATGTTTTGGACTCTAATTGGAATTAATAAAAATGAAGTACAGAATTTTTTTTTAGATCTCTATTAGTACAATACTATGAGTGGCCATCAAGACCAATCAAGTATTTGCTGACCAAATGATGAATCCAGAGAGGTGAGAAGGAGCGGGCGTGAGGGGCGGGGGTCCCTAAAACTGGAAAAGGAACTACTTTTGAACTACAAAGAAACACAAACGGTTATTCTGAGTAATTATGTCCACCTCTTTGACGAGGAAACCAATCTCAGAGTTTCATATCATAAAAGAAAGTAGATCCCTCAATGCCAACGCAGTAGTTCAGGCTTGTCACTACACCCTGAACTTTACGGCCCAAGTAGCAGCATTCCATAGGAAGCCTTCCCCAGCTCCTGTAACACACAACGTGGCAACAGAGTTCCCAGGAAAGAGCCTGAGAATCCTTATCATCTCTAACACCTGAGATCTCTACCAGGAAATCTCAGCCCTCAAAACAGATGGGCAAAGCCTGGCATTGTGGAAAATATTTTGCCAAAGAAAATGCAAAAAGGATCAAAGAACTGTACAAAAATGTGATTGACAAGAAATATCATTCAAATGATCAAAATATATATCTCATATATTTGGTCTTTGTCACAGTTCCTGACTCACAGTTACCAAAACCCTTGGTATTTCCTAAGTGTTGAGAATGATAAATGTGTCTTTTGTTATGTGAGTGAGGAGACTTTGGGAAGCACCGAGGGTGGGAGCTGGTTGCCAGGAGACCCACCCATATGATTACAAAGCTGGAACTTTCAATCCCACCTCCTGACCTCTGGTAAGAGGAAAGGAGCTGGAGGTTGACCCAGTAGCGGAGGAGCCTTGATTTTATCAATGAAGCCTCCATTAAAATCCAAAAGGAGCCCTCCCTGGTGGAGCAGTGGGTTAAAGCACTGCACTAAAAAGTTTAAGCCGCTTCCGCCTGAGTTCGAACCCCGCCTGCCCCGGAGGTGACCACGTGGCGTAGCAGACCTCTCCAGACCCACCCGCTGCTCCCCTCAGCAGGGTACTTCGTCGATCTGCCTGTTCTGCTCCCCACTCTGTCCCTGGTGAATTCTCTCACCCTCCGCATCTCTGGCCTGTACCCCAATTCTGTATGAAAAAATAAAACAAAAATTATGAAATTAAAAAAAAATCCAAAAGGATGGAATTCAAAGAGCTTCCAGGTTGGTGAGCCCAGGGAGGTGCTGGGAGAATGGCATACCTGGAGGGAACATGGGAGTGCCACACTTTCCCCACACCACGCTCTGTATCTTTCTCCATCTGGCTGTTCCTGAATTCATTAGTACCCTTTACAATCAGCGAGCCAGTGAGTTTAACTGGTTTCCTGAGTTTGGAGTGCTAATCCAACAAATAAAATTAACCTGAGGGGGGATCACAGGCAACCCCTGCAGCAGATAGGCCAGAAGCGCAGGGACAGCCTGAGTTTGCCACTGGTGACTTTAAAGGAGGCTGGTCATGAGAGGCTGAACTCTGAACCTGTAGAATCTGACGCCATCCCTGGGCAGATAGTATTGTAACAGGGTGGTCCCTAGGAAAAGGGGAAGTTCCAGATTCCCTGCCCCACCCAGAAGGAGGGTGGAGCTGAGCAGAGAAAAAGGAGAGAAGAGAAGGAATCTGAAGAGAAGAAAAGAGGAAGCTGGATGGAGAACGAAGGAGACCTGAGGAAGCCACATGGAGCAGCAAGCATGTGACGAAGAAACCATGCTTGTTTCCTGGCCCAGGGCTGGTTAAGGCAGATGTGGGTGGGATACCTGTAGGGAGGTGACTATGGCAGTGTTTACATTGATTTTGATTTTGCTCTTTTCCTCCCAGATTTGTCTGGCCATTTCTGACCCTTTTCCATGGGTCCCGGCCAGACGGTGCTTTAGGCTTGTGGCAGCTTTCAGGCCTTGCTTGGGTTGACTTTTGCCCACAAGGGGATGGGTAACTTCAGGTGTTGGATTTAGAAGAAGTTATATTCTTTGAGTTCCGTATTGTGTATTTACTGTGTTAAAAGTCCCTTTTTATTAAAGTTTTATGTTTTGTCTTGATGCAGCAGATGGCAGAACCCACTTAGAGCAAGCAGGTTTGGGGCTTCAGGGGTGCCCCTCTCTCCCTGTCCTGTAACAGATTTGCTGTCCTGTAACAGTATCAGAGTAGAGTTGAGTTCTCTGACATCCTACAGGGTGCAAGCCTTGGCTGCTGGGGTGAGGAAGCTTCCACAAACCCACATTGGAACTGGAACCCATTTATATTGTCTTAAACCAAGTAAAAATATGTCTGAAAAAAAAAAAAAATGATGGTGCCTCCTCTGAAGTCTTGAAATAAAATCTTGATATGACCATGATTCATAATTACACGGACAGTTAAAAACAGCAGCCATAACGCGCTCTATTCAGAAGCAATAAAGAAAGGCAGAGAGGAAAACAATGACAGAATAATTATAATCTCTAATACAACAAACACACCTTTTAAAGAGACTTTCAGAGCATAAAGATAAAATTGTGCAGCAACTTAAAGTGAGATCATATTTGTAAAAGGGTGATTTGACTTTTTTACTCTTGCCATCAGAGGAGAATCAGAAGTCTTGGATTTTCTTCCCAGGTCACATATCCCCTCTAAACCTCATTTTCCTCATGTGTAAAATGTTCAAGATTAAGCTTGATCTGTTTTTCCTCACAAAGTAGCTGTGAGACTCAAATTGGAGGACAGTGAAAAGTCACATAAACTACTAAAGACCAACACAACAAAGCATGATTAATAGTAACAAATGGATTGTGATATGAAAAGTTGACAATTTCTAAAAATTTTAATACAGAATAACATCAAGTCTGTTATTCATAGTTAAAGAGAAAAGTAAAAGAAAAATGTAAAAAAAGTAAAGAAATGATTTTTTAAAGAAGGCATTCCAAGCACTTTTAGATCAAGGTTGTTAGGTTAAGATTTGGCACGTCATCTTCCAAAACCATTAGAGTTGGCATGCACTTCAACTTTACCCTTCAGTGCTTAATACAAAATAGTAATTTGTGCTTCTTTAAACGACACTCTACACACACACAAACACACGTGTGCATGCAAAGACAAAGTGAACAAGTAAAATCACTGATTTTCTCTTTCTGAGGTAAGTAACACAAACAAAATATTATTTTTTGTTTCTACCCACTAGCCAATGAAGTTACAATTTGCCCAAAGCTAAAATCAGAGTATCTAAAACAGAAGATATCAAATACTTTCACTTAATAGTTTACTTTTTCTCACTAACGTTTTCTCATGAACTCTAAACCAGATATTGATAAGTCTTTGCCTTACAAACAATAAACGTGGGCAGGTTAGCACAATCGTTCCTTGCTTGGCATATGTGGCTATTACTAAGCACCTGAAATGCAGTTAATGAAGACTGAGCTGTACTATAAATAAAAAAATGCATACTAGATTCTGAGTACTTGATATAGAAAAGAATGTAAAATAATGATTTTTTAAAATATTGATTACATGTTGGAATGCTAATATTTTGTATGAAATAAAAGTTACAATCAATTCTACCTGTTTCTTTTTTTTGAAGTGGCCATGAGACAAATTTTAAATTACACATATAAGAAAAGGCTGATCTATTTCTACCTGCCAAAGGTGCTCTCAAAGAATATTAAGAGAAACAATACACATTAGATAAAACTTTAAATGCTAAAATTCACCTGTAACAGTCCTCCTCATCACATAACAATGGTGTGTAGTTTTTACAGTTATGGCCCAAGTGAAACCTGCCCAGGTCACCTGGTTTTCCTGTCACCACCCACCCTTGGGGCTCCCAGGGAGAAGGGTAGGCAGCTGCGGAGAAGGAGACGCCACCACTCCCAGGGTAGCTTCAGGACTTACTGTAGAGAAGTCATTCCTTTTAACCATTCCTGTAGAGTAAAATAGCCCATGTTTTGTGCATCTAATTTCCAAGCGAGGACAAGCATAACTACCTGTTTAAAAGAAAAAAAAAAAAAAATAGGAAAATCAATCAAATTAGAATGACAGCTCTGAGCAATTTATTTTAACATCTTGCTAATGTTCTGTTCACAGTAGTTTAGTTACTGAAATATGAACAGGGTAACTTCCAAAATAAGTTTGGCAAACAACTGAAAATTTGGTAATCCAATCTGTTGGCAAGATCTGGAGAAACAGGGACTCCTGATAAATGATAGCAGAAGTGTAAAGCAGTGAGCCTCTCCAGAGGGCAATTCTGCAGAAGGCTACCAAAACTGAAACCCATTATTAACTCAGCATCTCCACCTAAGTTATCTTATCGCTGTATCTGCACATGTACACAAAGATGGATGTTCAGCAACATTTACTGCTCTACAAATTTATGTGGCAGTAAAGAACCAAACAACAAAACATATATTCATAACGAACTAATCTAATACACTTCCCTGCTGAATACAATTACAAAGGAATACACTACGCCACCAATGAGACAAAGGCAGAAGTGCCGTCAGTACAAACAATCAGAGTTTCCAAGATTCATTAAGTGAAAAAAGGGAAGGTACAGATCAGAATGTTAAAAAGTGAAAAGGTGGGTGATGGGACACACACTGATGGTGCGACAAATACACTGTGAACTACATGACACTAGGGGAAAATTTAGAGTTGCCAACATTTCACTTAAAAGCACTGTGCCTGAAATGGGCTAGGATATATGCTCAGCCCAGTCACTTGGGGGCGGAGGGGCCCCTCAGCATCACACTTGATTTTAGTGAGTTTTCTGAAACGCTGCAGGTTTCAAGAACTGTGACAACTTAGCTGCTGTAGAGAAAAGATGGGAGAGCTAGATACTGATGGTGTGTTACTAATACCCAAAGGTGTAAAGATAAAAAGACATCCCAACGGTGCATCTAGTTTTGAGCCCTGTCAAAGGCTCTGCAAAAGGACAGAGCTCAGGCTAAGCATTGCTGGGAAGGGGACAACACCTTCGCATTTCATCTACCTCAAAGCCCTAAGGTGAGGAGCAACTGACATGTCAGTCCTTGACAGTCATCCAAAACCAGGAACATGCAGGTATTACATGGACATTATGTAAAAACTGAATGGGTGCTGAATGGCTGTCTCCATTTGCTGTAACAAACAAACCAAAAAGCAATGGGAAAAAATTTACATTCTGTAATATAGTTAACTGGGGAGCAGTATACTCCAAGTTTAGGAGTTAGTTTGATTTTTTTTTTTTTTTAACACAAGCATCTAAGGCTTTATTTCAACTATGAGAAGAACTGCCCAAGTTATTAAGCCACCATCCATGTGCCCAACTGGGTAAGATGGTAGTGGTGGTGGAAGGATAGTGTAACATAAAATAATGAGACCAGCAGCCAAATAGAACTGATGTCAGCAAGTTAAGTATCTGACAGACAGTGACATTAAGAATTCCATAAAGTGGAATTTAGTAGGTTCAGAAAATGTCCTTTTTATATGTTTGCGAATCAGATCATGGACTAAAAAAGAAATATCCTATTTTATCTAATTTATTATCCAAAATTAATGAAGTTTTCTCCTCAGGCTGGCTTTATGGCTTTCCACTTTAGAAATTTGTTGCAGTGAGAAACCACTAAATCTCTAGGTTCTTCATCAACTCATCAGTTCATACCAATTTTTTAAGTACTTAGGTTTTTTAGATTTAAAAAAATCCAGATTACTAGAACTGATTAGCAAACCAGTGTTTCAACTTATGTACATCATCACATTCTAGGATTAAAAAATGGTGACATGGCCCTCCCTGGTGGCGCAGCGGGTTAAAGCACAGCACTGAGAATCTAGAGCCGCTTCCGCATGAGTTCGATTCCCGCCTGCCCCGGAGGTGACCACATGGCGTGGCAGACCTCTCCTGACCCGCCCGCTGCTCCCCTCAGCAGTGTACTTCGTCGATCTGCCTGTTCTGCTTCCCGCTCTGTCTCTGGTGAATCCTCTCACCCTCCGCATCTCTGGCCTGTACCCCAGTTCTGTATGAATAAATAAATAAATCTTTAAAAAAAAAAATGGTGACATAGGCTACTCAGAAGAATTTCTCAAAAAAAGAAGGGGTTACTTATTCCTCAACTGTTCACAAACTAGTGAACTTTCCCCTTCTCCATCAGCTTTTCTTGGAATTCTGACTTGCATATGTCAGTTTGCCTAGGTGAACTAATGCACATTCTCAAATTCAAACTTGATCTTTTTAGACTATAGTATACTCAATCCTCTATCACAGAAATTAAATATTCCACACATACACATAAGATAAAAAAATGGTGAGGGTACAGGAATACACTCACGTATGCATGAAATATGATCAAACAGCCAAGGCAGATACTCTCAGACTTTCCCTTATGATACTGATAAGGAAGCAAACTACTTAAATAAGCAGCTCTGCTGTTACCTTAGTAAGTGAAACATGACTTAAATCTTACAAGCCTACTTAGATTTCATAATTTACAGATACCAGGTGAGGTATAAGGGGTTTACCTACTTTAACGCCCTTACTCATCAATGCAGGCCAGGCTTTAAAAAACTATTTCACCACTTGTTTTTCAAATGTTAACGTTCCTGAAACTAGGATGTATCCATATTGAAGGCACACTGGTTTATTTAGCAATATTTTTCTTTCTTACTGATTGTATGAAATAATACAAATTCTAGTAGTAGCATCTTGGAATTGAAGTACAGCAATAAATACTTGGCATAACATTATGAAATTCAGTCTTTTATTCTTCAATGTGATTCAACATTTCCAGGCTACTGCTATTCCTACAGAAATAGAGAACTAAAGGACTCATATCACCAAAAGCATAAAGGTAGTAACAGCAGCTTCTTTTATTGTGTACTGGTGTTTGGGGGTGAGGGACTATGAGGAGCCAAGCCTCCCTTTATATTCAGTCGGAATCAATACCTGCCATCCTGACGGGCCTTTGTCCTCTGGGGATAAATGTTTCCCACCCCCACTTAGACCTGCAGCCTGAACACTGTCTTCCAATCTCCACCGCTGGGAAATCCCTAGGTTCACTTTCATGCCGTCGCCACCACTACGCTCCAAAAACACTCTCTCAACCTTGGCCCACCTCCCATGGGAAGAATTCCCTTCTAAAAGTCAGGGGCATGTTCTTTTCTAAGCCTATGAATAGTCTGCGGGCTGGATTAGGCATAATACTATTGACCCAGGTGTCCCAAGATTGAATAGTTTATAGACACCAAATTGGATCACATTAAAATAAAATAAAGCAAGACAAAGACCCATGTAGTAAATCAAAGACATTCCATTCCAAGGCTTTTTAGAAGATTTGAAAGTTTTACTGAGGGTAAAAAATAATGGCAAAAAAAGGTTTTAAGAAGGAAGAGTGACGTCTCAATTACTTTTTTTCTTTGAGCATGACATATGCATAGAATTCAATTTTCTTGCCACCTGGCTCTTCCAAACCATAAATTTATTTGGTCTTACATATATCTGTGAACTGAAAGGCTTACACATCCACCTGCATGGTCAATGAGCCAGGGCTACTATTTTTTTATTTTCACCTAAGAGCAAAGTGGAGAAACAGGAAAAAATACTCAACAGTAACAGGATATGAGCTACATAAAAATAATTAAGCATAAAAAATAACTTCAAATTAAAATTTTAAAAGTAAATACTTTTAAAAGGACTTGTACACTTAAAAGAAATCACTTTCTGAGTGACATTCACTTGGAAATAAGAATTGTGAAATATTCCTGATAATTACAACCTACTTAATTTAGTTATTCTAAGTCCCAGACAAGCTCTACATTGAACACGATGGGGACAAAGATTCACCATGCAGTGACACAGTGCCCCACCACATCTGCCACTGTAGATGCACAAGTCCATGCTTTTTAAACATGTAGTTTAATTATTTATCACAGTACCAAGCCTTCAGGTTACAAGAAATATAATAAGCGAAAAAAAGCTATAGTGACACCATACCAATTATGGCAAAAATTTCTGCTTACGACTCAAATTAGAACTGGAAGTTATTTCTTAGATTGCCTCATGAGGAGAAAAAAAAAACCAACACTATTACTGCTTTATTATGATTTATTTGTCAAGAGACAAAAAAATTAAGAAAAGTAATCAACTGATATGACTCAACTTAGTAAGTTAAGACTTACATTTTCTGGTTCAACCCCAATGTCTTCACAAAATTTCTCCATGCCTTCAGGACCTACAACATCATCAGTACCTGTGATGAAATGCAATCTTATATAAATTAAATCTAGCCGTGCACAATATTACTATTGCAGTAGTAGGGCAATGTCAAAAATATGTACTATTAAAAGTAAACTAAAGTCAAGTTAACACTTATAGGCCGTAATTCCTTACGAAGAAAGAAATCATCCGTTTAAAGTAAAAAATATCCTGCAATTTCCATGGAGTAAAGATATAAATCTTTCCTGTGCAACCTCTAAAGTCAATTTATCACCATGTCTTTCAACTTGTGGACACTGGTACATATATTCTAAGTTTAAAGACAAGGCTGCCTGCCGGAGCTCCATTCCTACTCTTGAGCTTAAACATCTTTTCCCATTTTGCTATAAACTTAATATGAAAATCTAATTTTTGGAAATGTAGAAAAGAACGATACAATATTCTTCATAAAATTAAATAGGAAACTATATAACTGTTTCTTTTATACAAAAAAAAAAAATCAAGTAGTCTCTTTATTCTTTATAAGGCAATTAAGACTCTTCCCATTCAAGCTGTAGCTTCTCCTTCCTGAAAGAACTGTCCACAGGTTCCATCTCTAAGTTATTTCTCATTCATTCTTCAACTATTACAGGTTGGCTTCTTGTTCAGGTTCTTCTTGTCAAGGTAATTAATAAGCCCCTAATTGCCAAGTCTAATAGACATAGTCTTCATTTTATTTGAACTCTCTATGCTTTCTGAAAATAAGCAGTTCTTTTTTGACAAAATTTCTCCTCCCACAGCTTATCAAAGTACCACTTCTGGCTTTCCTTCTAACCTCTAGTGTTCTGGCTTCTTTATGAGTTCCTTTGTTTCTCCACACTTTAATTTGATGTGCTTCTAAATCCATTCTGTGCACTCTCCCTAGGGAATTTCAAATAGAATCACAGTTCCAGGCACTAGTATCCCGTCTCACTCTGGCCCACACTTAACCCTTACTTTTGGCCTGTCTATCACACCAACACCTGGCTGCCACCACCACCTATATAACTGGCACAATTAAAATGATATTCTGCTCCAAACCTACTCCTGCAGCAACCCCATTACCAATCACCACCCTCACTGAGTCTACTGTCTCTCCATGTGAGATGCCTTCATCTTCCTGAATTCCATCTCAGCTGGAGGAACCACCAGAAACAGAAGTCTGAGTAAGAGTCATCCTGAGTTCTTTCTCCCAAACTTTCCACATCCAGTCAACAATCAAGTGTTCTGCAATTTTACTTCCCCGTGCACCAGAACTACAGTGGCCTGCTCAGGCTTTAGCCTCTCTCTCACATCACCACAGCAGTCCCTCATCACTCCCTGTTTCTCCTCTGACGCACATGCCACTCAGTGACCTAAGCAATCTCAAACACAAACCCCAAACTGCTTTAAAATTTTTCAATGGTTCCCCACTGTCTCAAGCCCAAAGTCTTTGAAATATTAAAAAGATTCCCTATAAGCTAGTGCACCTTAATGCCCTCCTTCCTCTTCAGCCTCCTATCTTTCCACCTTCAAATCAGATTTCTTGGAAAGAAAGATATCAACAAATATTGTCAAATGAATGAAACCAAGATCCAGACACACTTCCTACCTGTGGTCTATGCTGCCCACTCTGACACCAACCCAACATCACCTTCCTCTTTGAGGCCTCAGTCCTTCTCCCTCTTCACTTTACCTGGCTAACTGGCTCAATCGTTAGGACTGAAACCAGACAGACAGTCCTCCTAATCTCTCTAGTCCTACCTAGAGGCCAGGCCATGTCAGCAATGTGTTACCCACTGAGCACAGCTATATTAACCCCACTCATCTGTCTTTTGCTCCATGTTCTTCAAATAAGACCTATTCTAGTGTTCTTATAACCCGAACAAACCACCTGACATGGAATACTTGCTCCATAAACTTCAATGAATGTTATGAATGAATGCCAGAATATAGGAATCTTTCCACAGTTTCTCGATCTAACAATTCATCAAGTCCAGCAGAATTAGCCATCTTAACATGCCTCAGTTTCAGATAACATCTACTGGCCACATATTGGAGCTAAGTCCTGGGCTACTTGCTAAATGTGAATAAAACATGCTGCCTGCTCTTTGGGAAGGAAAAACAAACACAAAGTACTTTTAATACAAAGTAATAACTAGACCACAATAAAAGTATAAGGTGATTGTTCTCAACAAAGAATGAATATTAAAATCACCTGTAGCACTTACTGGCAAGTTTTAGGTTACTTGTCTACTTCAGATCCTAGGCACCCCTAAAGTCACAACTCAGGACCTTCCACATAAAACAGGTGAGAGCAAATACTTTTTCTATGTGCTGTTATTTTCTTTTAATCACAAATGTACTATTCTGTTGCAAAAGGTTTTGTTTCATATGTTCAATTTTGTTACCTTTTCTGAAGTTTTCTTGATTCATTTCTATCTTTTTCAATGTATTCCTACTTATCTTGATTATTAGAAGAAAATCATTTATTTAAACATTATCTTGTTATTTTTTTCTGTATTATACATACACATGTCCCAAAATGTTTATTTAAAAGTGAAAGTTTAAAAAAAATTAAGTAAAAACTTAAAAAGGATCCCCTCAAACCTCTCTATCCCCCAAAGACAACCTTTTGAGTTTCTGTAGTCACCCTTCCCTAAAATAAGCCATTTATAAACCTGCGGCATTTATAAACCTGCGGGTGTATGGAAGGCATACATACTGAGTGTGTATAAGTTTACCCAGGTAATTCTCTTGGACTTCCCGGTACACACTAATCATCTGCCTCCCCTTTGCGAATATTTATGCTCATTCTTTCTTTTGTCTAATAGCAATGGCTAATAACGCCTCAAAACAGCAGCAAATAAAAATAATGAGACAGGCATCCCAGTCTCATTCAAACGGAGAAACACTGAGCACACACTCAGCTGCGGAGCTGCAATACATCCACAAGCAAAATACTCAAAAACAGAAGGTTAGAATGAGTTGGAATAAAAAAAGAAAGTCTGCTTTCTCCCTTTCCTAATCATTTAAGCATGTATCCTTCCAGACCTTTCTGCCAGTTATTTACATATGTGCAAATATACAATGAAACGCAGTTTTAAATTTTTTTATTCATACACATGAGTTCATGCCATCCCTATAAATTCTACATCTTTTTTCACTGAATGTGTAAGATAATCTTCCTATGAAAGAGCCATACAATTACTTTATTTTTGTTAGTTAATACATTTTATATTGGTCCACAGAACATTGGGCATGTGCAGGTCTCTGTATGTTCATAGCTCTTTTCATCATTCCACTACTGTAAAGTACCTAGGCTGAGATAAAAGAAAAATTACTATCTAAGGCCAGCACAAAGCAGGTTAAAAGGAGGGTTCGATGAAGATAGGTTTGTTTTTTTTTTTTTAGCTATACCTAAATGCTAGCTCTCAGATGCGATGGTCACAAGGTGCTAGCGGTACATCTACAGAAAAGGAATTGTGTATAATAACTTACAATACTAGAATTAGATTAAATAATACATGGCTATAAACAGAAAAAATAAAGTATATCCAGATACTTTTAAATTCCTATTTCCTGCAGTTATCCAGAAAAACTTTTAGATACTTATAAAAATTAATTGACTTCCATCAACTAATCTTAGTCTGTCTTGAGCATATTGCTGTCATTTTTCATAATGTGTAATTTACAGACACATTTCAATAAAAAGATGTGATCACTGTTAGATGCACCTTAAACTATGCTCATTTAAAATGTTTGTTTTTACTGTACTGGCCTTGACTTTCACATAAAATTCTGCCACTACCTTTATTTCTATTATGTATTTGTGCACTTTGTCTTTAACATGCTTTCATTATTAAAATAAACAAAGCTAAACTCGGTGTTGGTTATTTGGCTCCAGGCTAGAGTCATTTCACCAAATGAATAGAGGAGTGAAGGTAAAAAAAAAAAATACTGATCTTTCCTGCAGGCTCTAACCCCTGGTAAAGTTTCAGCAATTACACCAAACTGCACTGTGGTAAACACAGCCACGCTGTGTCCTCTCGTGGTTGTTACTATCGCTGGTCACTGAGTACAGTGACAGACCACCTGGTCACTGAGTACCTGGCTCCTGGTCCCTAATCTCCTTCTGGGAAATGGAAAAAAAACAATTCTGCTACAGAACTGAATCCAAAAAGGAGACGAAGAGTCTACAGTCAGGACTTGTAGAGCTTTTTTGACCTAGATAGGAGATCTTTAGTGTAACTCTGAAGTCAATGCTGGCACCTGTATATGTGGCTTAGTCCACTAATGTTAGACATTAGTTCAGAAAGCAGGAGCTATTTAGATAAAATATTTATGTAAAACTGATTATTTTCATTCTATTGAAAAGATGTGGGGTCCAGTTTCAAATGGTAACTGGCATAAACAATACTCTCCTGTTCTTCCTAAAGTCTCAAATTATCTAAAGACCTAAAGTATTAAAGTACAGAAAAGAGTAAACCTATAACAACAGAGAAAGGAAGTGTCTCTAGTGGAAAAGGTTTTACTTACTAAATTTCTAAGAATCAGAAATTTGAGTTGACAGTGATTTAAAAGGTGAGAGCAGCATCATGAAATGTGCCCAGATTGGGGTTAACTGGCCAGAGAGAAGCAGGAGGAGGGGCACTCAGGCCAGAGGAGTTATGAAAAACCAGAGTGGGGGGGTGGTGGTGAAGCGTACCCCGAAGACATCCAGGCCCACCCATGTGAACAACCACCCCTGCCAGACCCCTTCAGCCCTTACTCCCCTTCAGGATCAGGGCAGGGAGTCTGCATTATCTTCAACACAGACCAGCTAGCTCTGCTTCTGGCAGCTAAGGCCGGACTGCCTCTCGGCCTGTCCCAGATTAGTCCTCCAGCCCAACTTGTCACTCACTCTGGTCTTCTCACCACAAGTTTTTTTCCTGAATAATACTGACCTACAGTTTTTATTGGTGTGGCTGGGCTAGTAAAAGAGATGGCAAATGTCAGTTGGGACTTTTAATTATTCCCAAGTCAACCCTTTTTCCTTACTGATAAGATTCACAAAAGGAAGGAAAAAAAGTGGGGGAGGAGGGAGGGCTTAAAAAAAAATAGAGCCACACCCACAGAAACTTCTTACAGGAATGAACCACAAGGAAGTACCAGCAGCAATCTTGAGGAACCTAAAGAATGTGGCTTAATCTTTATCCCACATGTCACCTCTGCAACCAGAGAAAAGCACAGAAAGAAAATTATAGCCTACTCTCTTTTTAAGGAAAATAGAACTGTGGCTTGTACTATGGAACAATTTATGTTTGCCTGTTAAGGAAGACAAATCTATAGAGCTGTGCTATGATGGTAGGACTAAGCATGCCTCCCCTGTTTACAGTATCCATTTTATGAAACATTTTCATGACAAGAAAGGTGAACCAAAACAAGAGAAGCAAAGATCTTCATAAATGAGTGACACACAAAGGAGAAAGTCTTCATTCATTCAGCAACCAGAGACAGTACCAGTTACCTCTACTGGGAATACAAGATATCTTTAAGAGATGCATATTCTAATGACATAAGCACGAAAGCAGATAAATTCTAAGACCATATAAATATCTGTATTACTGCCATGTCCTACAAAGAAAAGCCAGCTCAATTTAGGTCAAGTAATGAGAGAGACTTAACTAGAAAGATACTGGGGTGACTAACAGAAGCCCCAGGCCAACAGCAATCAGGATCACATCCTCCCAAGGCCAACACCAGCCTCTATCTAAAAATCCAGTAAACTATATGACTGACCTGGCCTGGGTTTCCTGCCTAGAAAATTCTCTGCGGCCAAAAGTGCACAGGTTTCATCAGAAAGGAGGGAGGGGGAGAACAGCAAGATCAATGCACAGGAAGAATCCTCATTTTGATATCCAGTAAAGGGATATCAATACTAGTTGTAAAAATCGTCCCATGGGAGTACAAAGCGGCGATTGCACTAATTAGGGGGATTAGACGATGTCGGCAGCTTGTCAGACGGAAAAGTGGAGAAAAACATTCCCAAATGGGATAGCAGTGAGTTACGTTATCTGTAGGTAGCAAGGATTGTAAGTATCAGGTGAAGGTGGAATAGATTGTTAGAGAATCTTGCAGATGATTTAATTTTTTTGTCGTCGTTTGTTGTTGTTGTTTAATAAGATAACAGAAGACACAGGGAACCTGGGGGGGAGCAGTGGCTGCTAACAGGAAAATTCATTTTAAAGTTCAAAACAGTCAATTTGGTAAGTATGAGCTGACCAGAAATGAAGTGAAGAGGAAAGGTTCAAGAGCTCTCAGCTCCAGGTCGTCTGAAAAATTGCTTTTGTCTTTTTTATAACACACACAGTCACAACAACAAACCTTGGGTTTATTACATTAACCAACCAATTACAATGCTTGCAAAAATGAGACTGAATATAAGACATTTTAAATAAAACAAACATTTTCTGCCAAATAATCTTTCAAAGAGAGACACTCAATATAGGACATTCTACTGCACCACATAAAGGTTTAAAGCAGCAAGGCTTATTTTAACTTTCATGCGTAAACCAAATAGCCACCCATTACCAGCATTCTAAATAGGTTTCCAAGCAATCCAAAGTATCCTCCCAAGAGCATTTCATCTTTTCAGTTCCCTTCTAGTGTTCTGAATTCTTTGGCTTAGCTGCCAGCTATAAATAGGACATTGGGTGATTTGTTTCAACTATGTTCCCTCCCTCAAACACAGAGGGACACACACACACAGAGTACCTATTTTTTGTTCTTTAATTCCCTCTAGGGTATTCCTTGCTTTTATGAGGGTCAGTGTTAGAAGATATAAAAAATGATTACCTACCTGCATATTCATAGAACCACTCCAAGCACCTCTTACTTGAAAAGGCTTCTTCTTCAGTCTTTATTCTAGTTGAATCATATTTTCTATACATACTAGAAATTGAAAAAAGCAGTTTAAAGTTATTTAAAGATGCTGAGTTATTTTTGAAGAGCAGATTTTTTTTATTTTACCCAAACTAGACATCTATTCAATCACTATCATAAGTATATCTTAAATATTTTACTTCTTGCATTCAGAAGTTTCAGCTTTTAAAACTAGTTTTAAGCACAGTCATACCCAATATAGAATTAAGTGGTAAGCATTTAATACAGCCTTTTCTCTGATTGGCAAATAGTGGTAAGAACAGAACAGATATTGATAGACTCTCTTCTATTTCAGTATCCAGCACTAACTACAGAATGACAGTGAGATGCAGCAAGAAATGTTTAAAGTATTTTGCTTAATCAATGACCCTAGAACTTACTCATGCCTCTGTATTAATTCCTCCTGACTTCTTACAAGTCAGCTGGGCAAAGAGCACAGTCTAAGGAAGGACATGTCAATATTAGTCACCTCGAGGAAGCATCAAACAAAATGAAACATCAAATCTGGTCCCAAAGGAGCAAGGTCGACAAGAGAAAACTCCTTGGATTGTTTCCTGGCAAGGGGGCCTTGAAGACCTCGAAGGGAGCAGTACAGAGAAACCCTACAACTCCGTGGAAACACCCAACATAACCAAGAGAACTAACAGGAAACATAGCAAACTCCTTCTGCAATACTGGGACTTCAGCAATAATTCCTTATTTCATGATAACTCAGGGCTGAGGCCCAAGATGTTCCCCATATGGGAAGGAGAGAAGAGCAGTATGCTTAAAACACTGACACTGATAGAAAGTTTACATCAGTTTACCCCTTATTCATATATAAGCTATCATTAAATATATTGTATATATATTTGTATAAATAATTGTTATTTACATTAAAAATATAAAAATCAAGTATAATTCTTTTTTAATGAGTATTTACTCATGACCTAGATTTCACTGTAGATAATCTCTGATTAAAGACTCTGAGTTCAATACCAAAATAAAAATAAAATGGCTATCAGTGTTAAATTACTGAAACTGTAAGCCATGGTTTTATATTTTTCTATAAAAGGTAGCCAGTCACGTTAAGAACAAAGGTGGATACTACCCAAGCATTCACACACCAATGTTCCAATTCCAGATTCAGGTAGGTACTCCTAGCTCAGCTCCAAGTCTGTAACTGAGCAACAACCTGAAGATCTACATAAGACTGTAAGGTTTTACCTGCTTAAAAAAAACCTACCTAAAAAGGAGTACCACTCATCAGATGAAATAATACCATATGGCTAAACCTCGTGAAAGGAGCAAGACACAATAGGGCCATTTTATATGCACTGTCCAGATCAGGCAACTCTAGAGAGGGGAACGGCTTTGCGGCTACCCTGGGGCTGCGGCCAGAAGCAGAAGATGAGTGGGAAGGGGCATTATGGACTGGAGTGATACAAATCTGCTAAAACTGGTTTGTTGCACCATGGCTGCACAACTCTCACAATTTAATTAAAACCACTGAACTGTACACTGAAATTGTACAAATTATAGTATGTAAGTAAAGCTAAAAAAAAAGTTGATGAAACTCATAATGCTGGAGGATCCCCAATTCCTTGGGTGACCCCTAAAATGCTATCAATAAGGGTACGCCTTTCTGCAGCAATCCCACTAACCAGTTTTTAAAATGGCTTTCCCATACTAAATTAGTATCAGACTGTGGTACTACAGATAGTTACAAAATGCTGTGATTATTAGAACTTAATAAAAACATCTAATCACCAAAAGATTGTCAAGTAACCTGAAAGCTTAAAAAAACACAAAAAAAAAATCACTGGTCTATACTGCTGGTGGTTATCTTCTAAACTACCATGATCTCTTTTAGAAAATATTTTTTGCTCATCTGAGACACAGTGACACTATTTTATCTCTCTATCCTTCTGAGTTGCAGAAAAATAAAGTATTTCAGCAAGAAAGAACAGAAAAATCTAACCTAATCTAATCTCTTTGACTTATAGATGTGGAAGTTCAGGCCCATCAGTGAAGTGATCTACAGAGCTTCTGTCTTTAGGAATATGGGAAAAGGCACAATAGATTAAAATGACAATGTTCAGTTCTTTTTCTTTAGAGAGATAAAAATGACATTAAAATCAGGGTGAAACAATAAAGATGTCTAAAATAAACAAGTCTAACAGATCTTTGAGGTCGTCAAAATTAACAGTTCGTTGTCTGAAAGAGAAGGGGTTAAGCCGTCTTGATTTTCAATTTCTAACAAATTGTCACTTCTGAAAATGAACCTCAGCTCAGCTATTGTTCCAGGCAGGTTTAGCCTATTCAGGACAGGCCACTTACTGCAGCTAAGGGCGCAAGTCCTTTAGTTCTTTGCAAAGGCAACTATGGGACTTCTGTGGCAATACTGGGTGAGCAAGACCCTCTCACAGAACAGATACACACCACCTGTGGTCCCCAACAGGCACAGATAACAGGCCCTTGGAAGAACCTACACCCGTTCTGGCAGATCACTATACTAAGTAAGAGGAAGCTTTTTTAAAATAAACCTAAACCTAAAGTAAAATCAAGAAATAATTACACACTGGAAGGTCACCTGGAAGAACCAAAGCAATATTCCAGTTGGCATTTGCACAATCGGAAGAACCACACTAGGTTAGGGAAGATGGTAAGACCCACACTGGGCTAGGGAGGATGGTGCATCTTTGCCATGGGTTCATCAGTTCTGAACTAGCGTCTCTGTGACATACCTGTCATGTCTACTCTTCTTGGCAGATAAATCATCCCCAGAGGCAGGTCTTCTCTTTTTCCTTGGCGGCATCACTTTACTAAAGCAGTCTGAAGAACTGCAGGACCGCAGACTTCCTACAGAAAGAGCACGCCGGGGCCCAGAATTAAGGTATGTAACATGTCATGACTAGGTAATGTAAGGTCCTCACCTCTCAGATACAAACTTTCATGGCTTGTAGCATAAAACGGTCAGTATTATTTGTAAATACTATGAGGTAAAAAGACAGCTTTTAGTTCCTCTTTGAGTAAATGTTATAGTCAAAAATAAACATCACAATGACCACAAATAAGGTTAGTATTTCCCTCCCAAACTACACCAGATATGGAAGTTATTATAACTTAAATTTACTCTCCAAAAATGATATAAATTATCTTTCAGCTTTTCTTTCATATCAATGCTCCTTCAGAAAAACTGTACTGCTATCTCATTTATGACTTCATTAGGCAAGGTCAACTCAAGTCTAAAGTACATATAAGTACCTCAGTCCCCTTCAAGGTGCATTGGGCTTAAATAAAAAACCAGGATTTGGATTTAAGGGCAGAAGACTGACGTGATGTTGACCATAATAATTATTTTAGTTTGTTTCTGCTACTTGAAGAAGATGCTGTCAACGCTCACTTCGGTTTTCAGAAGCATTACCGTGGTAAGACATGAAACTGCAACAAAGAGCAATAATAACTGGGCACTCAATGAGACCTTGCTGTGAGCCAGGCCCTGTTCTAACACTTGGCATGTACTCACTTATTTAACCTCTATACTCTGGTTTCTCTTCAGATCGTATAAATCTTTCGCCTTTTACTTATTTAACCTCATAACAGGCTTACATAAAAAGAAACATCATTACTGCCTATGCAGATGAAAAATGGAGGCAGAGAGAGGTTAGGTAAGTGGAAAAATTGGAATTCAAACCCAGTCTCACTTAAACTGTCTAAAATCATTATAAATTACAAGACAATTAAAGATAATTAAAATACTCCACATCTTGGCACAGATGCTGTTAGATCTACTAAGTCATCTGGTTCCCACAATAACCCTGAATGACAGGAAGGGCAGAGCTAATTATCTCTACCTAATAGGTGGGGAAAACTAGGTCTTAAGCACTTGGGTGACTTCTCAAGGTCTCAGAAGTGTTAAGTGCTACGTTCTGGACCCTACAGCTCTCCTCCTACTGGCCCCTTGACAGAAAGCCTGGGCCTCTCAGTGAGCCACAGGGACAAGAGAGAGCAGAGTGCAGGGGTTTGAGTGATCTTCATTCCATAAATGCATTCTAGCTTTTCATTTTACGATTGTGGCTTGGTCGCTACCCCATTCTGGTTTATCAATTGAAAAATGAGAACTGCGATATCTACCTATCAGGATTTTTTGAAGGAAAAAAAATCTATTCAATCAGTGCTTGGTGCCAAGTACTGTGGGCAGCTGGCACCAAGACTATAAAGCAACACTGTCTGCAAGTCACAGTGGAGGAATACTGGCACTCATCACTCTTCACGATGACCATTGGAGGTAGGCCTTGTCAGCATCCCATTTTTCAAATGAAGAAAGCAAAGCAGAAAGAGTAACCTTAGGCCCTGGAAAGCAGTGCATGAAGTCCTGACCAACTGTATGGGGCCACCTTTCACAAAGAAATGCTGTCAACTCTTTGATGCCCACTGCAGTTCAGGCTCTCACTGGTTTCCTGGTCCTCTCACCCTCATCCCTCAGGAAGGCAGAAGCAAACTAATAGCCCAGCAAAGTTACAGACTACGCTGCACAGCTCTGCAGGAGGAACCTTAGAACCATGACAATGAAGAGTCCCAGGCTACACAAAAAGCAATCTTTTTAGTGTTCAGGATAACAAGCTTACTTGAAAGAAAATCTGCTAACGTGAACTAAATCAACAAAATACAGGGAGGTCACACAACTCCAGACTGTTTGCCCTGAACCTGCTCCCTCTCACCTCAGGGATCCTACTTGGATCCCTGAGGAACAACTCAGTGTTCAGGGCACTTACAAAGGTGTTGGGTTTGCAGGGCCCTGGCTGGTTCACCTGTGTATATATAGCAGCTAACAGTGCCTTCATGCAATAATAAATGCACACATTAAGGAGATGCACAATTTGGAAATTGTGGTAAATTTCCAAACCAAAATTAATATTTTTAATAAAATTTAATAACATATAAACTTAATACTTTCTAAATATATTTCCAAAATATTAATGTCTATAATTTCTACTGGAAGCTTTAGAACCACTGATCAAATCCAAGTTTCTAAACTTTATGACTAGTGACTCTCAAAGTATGATCTCCAGACGCCAGACACGGAACATCAGCACCCACTGGGAACCTGTTAGGAATGCAAACTCTAGGACCCCTCCCCAAGCCTACAGAATCAGAAACAACATTAACAGAGCCTAGCTATCTATGTAACAAGTCCTCCCCAAGTGACAACTGCTAGCCAGATTTTGATTATTCCTTTACAATAATCAATTTTCCCAAACACACACACACACACATACCCTTCGCTACGTAGCAAATCATTTTTCATATTAATTCGACAGTTATTTATGAAATACCTTTCAAACTGCATTTTTATAGTACAGTTTTAATAAAAATTAAAATACTTCAGTAGCAAAACAGTATCTTGAAACCACAATAGAGAATCCCTAGCCCCTTTAAAGGGATTAAAGTATGCTGTCACCACCCAGCATGCCTAGAAGAGATGTCTTACTAGGCAGAAGATGTAACAAGGCTGCCTTCACTATAACCTGAAAAACACTTTCAATGGAGTCACTGCTGATTAGTGGAGTGTATTACAGCAATATACAGCATGCTCAGCTAGTACTTCTCCTTCAAAACTTTAAATGAGAAATTTTATCTAAAGTTAAATAGTAGTAACATCATAGATACCTGTTTGGTGATCGTCTTGGCCAACGTCTTCTGTTAAATTCTGAAAAAAATATGCCCATTGTCACTAAAAAAATCACATATGCAGCAAGTTTTAAAATTTAGTACTTTATAAACAGTTGATAACTCAGTATCTGTCATCTAAATTTTTATCAAATACACTTCAAACAACTACTTTAAACAGTTGATAGTTTTGTTTTTAAAGGATTGACTTACTAGTTTATTAAGGGTGTGGTAGATCTTATGAATATTTGCCAGTGTTGAGAGATGAGAGTTCAGCTGAAAGTCTTTAAAAGAAGAAGGGGGAAATTTCAGTATCAATTATTTCCCACATTGCAAAAAGCTCAGAAGTAAAGATAAATGTTTTGATACAACTAAATACTATCTCCATCGATTTGATACTTAGTCAATAAAATACAAGCAACCACTAATCTATCGTCTAGAAATAATGTCTGATAATAAAGTTAAATTCCCAACAAAATGGTAAAGCACATTTATGAAAGCTTGAAGTCTAAGGTAAAACAAAACTACTTCAGTAGATGTAAAAACCTACCAGCAATGGATCTTAAACACACACACACACATACACACACACAATAATGTTAGCAAACTAGCAAAGACAGATCTCAAATGAAATGTTCACTTTCTCTTTCTCTTCCCCAAAATTACTATTAAGGAGATCAAGCCCTGGGAAGAAAATGATAGGAAAGCACCTCAACAATTCAGCATTTCTCACAATGTATTTTCTTGTCTCTTATACAAGAGGGAAAACAGAGTCTAAGGGCCCCCCCCCTGCCCCCGACAGACAAATCAAAGAACTGCCCTGGCAAGCTCCAGGTCTGGGGGCCAGAGCCCTAGAAGGACTCTACAGTTACTTGCACAGCAATATTAACATGGGCCACAGAAGCAGAGATCACACTTGTAAAGAAACATGTCCAAATCTAAGAATGCATGGGTATCAGTTATTCTAATAAATTTAGAATTGCACACTAAATCATACACAAAAAACTAATCAAGCTGTTCAGATTAGAATCTTGTACAATAAAACACTTTATGTAAACCTGTTAAAAAAGTCTTTAATCTCTAATTTCAAATGTCTAATAAAGTTCAATTTACTTGTATACATATTAGGCTATATAAATATGAGCTAAAAGTTTAAGTAATTTCATATACGAATAAACATTAATGGAAGTATTTTCCTAACACATCGGATTTACATCAGTTCCTATTTTTACTATCATAACAGTTAGAAAAGGTGAGTCTAAAAGTAACCTTGAAAAGATAAAGTAACTCTCCCAGTTATACCATTCTGACAAAAAAAGAAAAAAAATCCCCCTCCACTGCAACACTTGACTGGGGCCCAGGATGAGCCAGATGGAAGAAGAGAACCAAAGAGTAGGCGCTATAATATAAGTTGCCTGTGCTGGGGCCGCCTCTCAGGGCTGCTACTCCGAATCTGGAAAGCACGCTGACTTCCCTGCCAGTTTTCAGAAAGCTTTACTTTCTTTTCTAAACCAAGCCAAGGGCTCAGTTCTGGGCTGGCTGCAGGGCAGAGGGCCTGCAGGTAGCAGAGTCACAGACAGTCAGCATCACTGACAGGAGCAGCAGGGCCTGCCATGTACCTGGCGCGTGAACCCGGCGGCAGCCAATGACAGTATGCCACAGCGACAACCATAGAGGAGGTCTGAGGAACCAGGGGTTTTGGCTCAGACAACCGGAGCAGGGTCTCAGGCTCTCAATTTAGACAAGCGTTAATTTTTCGATATCAAGGTGGCTTAGTCCTATACTTTACTTAAAGTAAGTGATGACATGATGTGGCACAGAATATTGGTTGTGCATCTTAACTAGCACAACTACACAGAAAAGGTTTAGAAAATGTTGGGGGAGAGGGGGCGTTAAAGTATGTATGGGTGTTTACTTATGTTTCCATTCAATAAACATAATTGGGGTCTCTAAAGCCAGACACAACAGGCTGATCTGAAAGAGGTTTTAGGGAGCTTAAACATATGCCAACTCCTTTACAAACTCCCCCACCAAGTCATAACCCTGTTTTGTACTCCAGTTGAAAACAGGAAGATAAATGATACATTCCATTGTCATCTGTAAATATAAATTAAACTCCCTTTAAGAAAACTTAAAGGGACTAGAGTCTCTCTTTTAACTGAGTCCACGCAGGAGGGAAGGAGGCTTGCCAAAGAACATTCAAGCAAATGAGGTCCTCCAGACTTCCAGTATGCTTTTTTCACTACCCTGATGTTAATTCAACTGTCAAAATTCACGAGAATCAAAACAAATGAAAATTGCTTTATCCTCTCTCTCTCTCTCTCGCTCGCTCGCTCGCTCGCTCAGGTCTTTACAGCCTCTCTCTAGAGGTCTAGCAGCTGGTTTTATAGCTGTTTTTTGGTAGATGTCAGATCTACCAGTTTTTTAACCTAATGCAATGTTCTCATCTGTAAAGGATTACAACGCGTGGACATTCACTAACAATCCTAGTAAGTTTAACAAAGATACCAATGATCACTAGATTCTCATAAACCACTTTCCTCACTACATAGCTATCTAAAATAGTCCCTATTTTCTCTGGGTCCAAGTCAAGCCCACATCAAAGACCCAAAAGCTGGCACTCTCTCTGCGACTGAGGCATATGGCTTCTACAGCTCTGTAGCCTATGATGATCTTCCTACATTCTCACACCACCAACTGGTGTTCATAAATGAGAATCAAAGATAATCTCAACACAGTAGGAAAAACATACTGGAATGTTTAAGACCAAGTTATATGTATGAACTTCTCTTTACAGACCATGAGAAAAATAAGATTCATTTCACAAATCACTGTGTCCATGTCCATGTACATCACCACCTTTTGTATAATTTCACCCACAAGCCCAAGAGGAGAGACAAATTCGGGGTGGGGGGGTGGGGGGGAGGGGAGAGAGACCAAAATGGTATTAAAGGACAAATCCACAAAGATTAGCGCATACTGAGTTTATGGTTCATCTGTTCAGTGTTAGGGCAAGTAATAGACCTTGAAATCTAAAATAGATTTCACATCCTTAAGGAAAAGATGTTAAGGGTAAAGATCAAATACTTTACAGAGAACATATTTAGGAAAAGTACTGATTCATAAAAAATCTCCTCCTGCTCCTATTTCAATTCCAAAGCATAAAGTGAGGTTAAGTCGACTGTATTTCATGATCACATGGCTCTCCACAGCAAAGCAGTGACAAGGTTTGACTTTCTTGTGTGACATGCAAACCCTATATTCTCTATTAAAAGCAACAAATCACTCTGCAACAGGGTAAAGCCTGCTTGATAATTAGCTTGTCTACAGTTATCTCCTGGGTAGTCTTAAAACTATCAACAAAAGTTGCCTGGGCATAAAATTTTCTGGGAATGTTTGCTGTTTATTTTTTGGGTTAACTACCATTTGCTGTGACCGCTTAGTAATAAACAAAGTACCACCAAGGAAGGTCAAAGTCTATTCCTTCAAACTAATGCAGGCAATGAGTCTCACAATATAGACATAAACATTATGAATGAAAAATAACTATAGATAAGTTCAGAAACTGACCAGCACCAAAACAATCAAATTTAAAAATTAGCAGATCTAATGAGAACTTATTTCCAATAAGGTGTCAGAAATAACTTAAGTGCATAAAAACTGAATCTTTTGTTTATACCATAAATAATCCTTTGTAAAATATAGTTGGGGATGATTTCAAGTGTAGTAACAACCAAAACATAATACATACAAAAAGAAGCAAATATATAACATACAAATAAAGACACAATAAAAGTTTACTGAAAGGCATAAATGTACTTATAATAGTTCTGGCACAGAAAGACCCAGTATTGAAGAGGATTACTGCTTCTTTTACCAAACTACAAATTAAATGCAATCAACTATCTATTCCTTCTTGCCTCCCAGATCCTCACCCCAAAAAAGGTGGGGAAAAGTGAGGGAGTGAGGCAAGCGTAGTAAATTGATTCCAAAGTTCATCTGAAAGAACAAACATGCTAGACTTAGCCAAGAAATTGTTGAAAAAGAATGAGGAAGAACTGGCCCTATCAGCTGCATACAATACACACAGTATAAAGCAGGTGAACTGCATAGAAGGCCACATCGTAAATATTTTAGGCTTTGTAGATCACATGATCTCTGTTGCAAGGACTTTGCCTTTGGAGCACAAAAGCAGCCATATACAAAACGTAAACATCTAAGTGAGGCTGTGTTCTCACATAACTTTATTAAAAAACTACAAGTGAGGGCCCTCCCTCATGGCGCAGCAGCACTAAGATGCTAAAGCCCCTTCAGCATGAGTTCAATCCCCCACCCATCCAGGAGGTGACCCACATGGCGCAGCAGACCTCTCCTAACCTGCCCGATGCTCCCCTCAGCAGTATACTTCATAAGCTGGTCTGTTCTGCTCCCCACCCTGTCTCTGGTGAATCCTCTCACCACCCCTGCACCTCTGACCTGTACCCCAGTTCTGTATGCATAAATAAATCTTTTAAAAAGTTTAAAAAAAAACAAACTACAAGTGAGCCACATCTCGCCCATGGGCTGTGGTTTGCTACAGCCTGGTTGCTTTTATTCACCTCCCTGGTGCTAAAAGTACAGCAATTATAGCAGTATGGCAACATGCAGGAAGCCAAATCTATGGAAAAACATTAATAACTATATTTATAAATGTATGTATAAACACATATAAAATAAATATAAGATTGGCCCTCCCTGGTGGCGCAGCGGGTTAAAGCACAGCACTGAGAATCTGGAGCCGCTTCTGCATGAGTTCGATTCCCGCCTGCCCCAGAGGTGACCACATGGCGTGGCAGACCTCTCCTGGCCCGCCCGCTGCTCCCCTCAGCAGTGTACTTCATCGATCTGCCTGTTCTGCTCCCCACTCTGTCTCTGGTGAAGCCTCTCGCCACCCCTGAGCCTCTGGCCTGTACCCCAGTTCTGTATGCACAAATAAATAAATCTTTAAAAAATAAATAAATAAAAGATAAAACAGCGTTTCAAATGAGTTGGGAAGAGACAACTATTATTCAGTGCAGAGTGCGACAACTTGCTAACATGGAAAAGATAAAATTAATTCCAACTTCACCCAAAAATTACAAATAAAAGGGAAGATATTCAAGGCAAAAGTCTTGTCATGGGGTCAGGGAACATTCTTCACTTTTCACCAGGTTGCCATGAGCACATGACCATCTATGGAACCTTGCCATCCAACAAATAAGAATTCTTCTTCACTCCTTCTCACCTTACCATGCTTTATTTTTGT